CCAATTGCAAATCTGATGTTCCAACATAGCGTCCAGAAGGATCAATTCCATGTTCATCACATACAACTTCCCAGAACTTTGATCCAATCTGGTTTCCACATTGTCCACCTTGGATGTGAAGGATTTCTCTCATCTTTTCTGTAATAAACAAGATGTTCTAAGTTCTTCTCTTAAATTAAAAACCACTACAGAAATTATAAAATTCATGATTCAGAATCAAATATATCTTATTCTCACTAAACTAAATTGATCACTACGACATTCACCTATCGAATCATTACTTCCAGTGGATAAACCTTAGTCCTTGAAGCAATTTGCGCGTTTAAATAGCATCAATATCATTACGAAATACTGATCCAATTCTATTACATCAAGCACATTATTAACACAAATAACTATACAATCACATTTTCCACAGATCTCAACAAATAAACTACTCACAGTACATTCTACACAAAAATACAGCAACTCTACAACATGTGATCTAACAAACAGTAATTCTCAGATCTCAAAATTAGCAAAACACAGAAAGTTCACTCGATCAAAACATTGAAAATGAGGCAATGAGCTAAAAAAAAACACAACATCAATCTAAAACTATCATTTGCAGTAGATTTTTAACAAAACAAGGAAAATGAGGCAAAAATATTTCAAGTAGCAGAAAATCATTAATCACAGTAAAAATCATCAAAAATCACAAATGCAATGAGCTAAAAAACATAAAAAACTCATTGATCTAAAATATTCAAGTAGAAAATATTGCAGAAACAGATCAAACTAAATAAAATGAACCAAAATATCACAATATGACATTATAGATCTAAAAATATCATCATACGTGGAGGATTTTCACATAGTAGACAAGGAAAATGAGGCAATCAATCATTTTACGATAGCAGAAAATCATTATACAACTCATCAAAAATTACAATATGACATTACAGATCTAAAAATACAGTCCTACACGGAAGATTTTCACAAAATATACAATGAAACTGAAAAAAAATAATCACTCTACTATAGCAAAAAATCATCGATCACAGTAAAAATCATCAAATGCAATTCAAAAAACAATAGATCTGCGAACAGTAAACATAAAACATACCTTCTGAATCGGAGAGAAAAGACTGAAGAGATCTGAAAATTGATGAACAGTGAAGTAGAACTACTCACTCGATCGAGAGAGTAGTAGAAAGAGTGAGAAGAGTAGGGGTAAGGGAAATGAAGCTCACGAGAGAATTTTATATGAGCAAGAGGGAAAGATCAACGGCTGTAATTTATTCCCTCCTTTTACATCTGACCCCTATAATGAAAAATGAACGGTCAAGATGAGATCTAAAATGGTGAGATTTGATTTTATAGGTAAAATATATATTAGTTGAGAGATATTTTAGTGACGATTATGTCCTTTGTAATGTGAAATTACTAGAACGTCTTCCCACAATCGTTTTATTGTATTAGCGAACAAATTATTCCGAGGTTAGTTATTTCTATATTGTTGGGGTTATCCCGAGGTTAATATGGGATAAATAACTCGCGGCTTTATCCTAACTAAATATGCGATAAATTTATCTTAAACTTAATCTCAAAAATAACCTCGTACCAAATAAGCGCTTGTTACTTTTCAAATTTGCTCCAACCATGTTGGTTTTTTCTGATGTTCACACCGTTTGATTAATTTTCAATATAAAAAAAATTATGTAAGAGCCACCATCTTTCTACCACTAAAAAAGCATTTATTAAAATTTAAATATGAGGTGTCGAATTGAAATATTTTATTATTATGAAATATTGCGTTTAATTTTCATACCATTCCACTCTAACTAATATAATAAAATAGATTTGAATTTTTGCAAATGAATAATGGGTTTCTTCTATTCTAGCTTGAAAGGCAAGTAAACTATACACTCATAAGTCATAACTACTCTCTTCAACTTAGATTATATAATTATGACTATGAGATTTGGAGGCAAAGTTAAATTTCTAGCTATGATTTTGATAGAATTGGATAGATTAAGTTAGTATTTTTTAAAATATCGAAATTTTATTAGACTTAAAATAGATTCTTACAAGGTAGGTTCAATTCATGTTCTTAAAATTTATGGTTCGTTAGAGTTTCTTGGAGGTTGCTCCACTTTAAACTTTAGTTCATGAAAAATAACTTAAATATTTCATAAATTCTTGAATATTCACAAAGAGATCAAGATTTGTAAAATATTATCTTTCTCAAAATCGAAGAGATCACTGGAATGTTCTTATGAGATCAAGATCAATACTCAAAGTGATGTCGACGTTCCTAGAAATCAAATATCACAAAAATTCAAATTATCCTACGTTTGAAAAATACGTGTCTTAAATCACAAAAATTCCCATGTGAGATCACTTTTGTTTTCCTCACATGATATGTTTGAAAACAAATCAACTAAAGTATATTTATATTTGTATATAAGGATAAATAGATGGTACTCTCACTTGTTAGATCTCTATTGGTCATACATTCACAAGACAGGGAACATGGTATTAAGCAAAGAGACAAATAAATCCCCTAATTAAGTACACCATATATATAAATGGAGATCACATGAAATAAGATTGTTAGCATGTGATTTGCCTTGGTCCTTGTATCACTCTTATTAGCTCCTATATTTTAGAATTTTTGTATCTTTCAAGTATACATTTTATTTTTTTCAGATTTTATTTTGTGAAACTACGATAAATATCTTATTATTATTGTACATTAAAATAACTTATATTACATTAATTTATATTAATTAAGTAACAAAAAATTAAGATGAAATGTGTATTAATTACTATTATAGGCAAACGATTGTTATGATTAAGTAAATTAAATTATCCCATGAGAATCAATTTCAAAGAATAATAAGCTTCTCAATCATAAATTTTGAAGTTGAACCTTTAAATTTGAAAATTCTGAATTTTGAAGTTGTGTTTTTTGAAATTTGAAATTAAGTTTGGACATGCATTTTACGTTTAAAAACATAATTGAAATTGTGTGGGTGAAAGTAAATTTTCTTCCAAAAACTATAGTTTGGATTAGTTTTAAAAACTTGATTATTTTTTTTCAAAAATAGATTTTCAAAATCTGATCCAAAATCTATGATCAACTGACTTAATACAAATACTATTAATTGAAAGTGATAATTCTTTTGTGTACCAGTAAAAAAAGATGATAAATGTATCTCTCAAACTTGCTTCTAACTCACTTGTACTTAAAAATAATGATTAAGTTGAATGATTGAAAATATTGCTTCACCTAATTAAAGTACAGATTTGAATGTCTCAACCACCATTAAAGTAAAATTTGAAGCAAAATTATTCTTTTAAAGTGTAGTTATATATATATATATATATATAGGTACATTATCGAAATATATATCAATGCCAGATCCAATAATCGCAAGGAAAATTTTAATTGCATGCGAAAAATTAAGTGTTTATAGAATTAAATATACATTTCAAAACTTATTGTTAATCTCAAAACATTTAGTGTGTAAATTTTAGATTGATATTAGAAATAATTTTATGAATTTTAAATTTGATTAAAGAAATAAATTGTCGGGTCAAGGAACTGGGCTGGATATTATAAGCAAATGTTTAAAGAATCCAAGCCCAAGCCCAGCCTATAAGGACGGAAATAAGGCTTGATGGGCCCGGTTAATTTGCCGATAAATTAAAATTTACAAATAATCACTTTTTATTTACTATGTAACTGAAAAAATAGTTATTGTCATGTAGATCGAAAATCCACAAATCAAACTCTAGGATCTAGGATACAGTAATAGAAAAATAGTTATCGTCATATGTAGATTCAAAATTCATAAATGAAATTTCAGGATACTGTCATGAAGTTTTACCTATGGAATTTTGAATCACATAGCAATGTTTATGTCGAGGCTCTGCCTTATTTGAATTTGTGTTGCGTAAGACTCATTAAGAGAGAAACACTTCCTAACAAGTTTTTTTTCATATTCAGAATTCGAACCCAAAACTTCTAATTAAAAATGAAGGAATCCTATCCATCTCACCACGATCCTTATCGGCTCAATATGTCCAACATACCTTAGTCCCAATTGGATAGTTTTTTTAGTGAAAAAGTGATGACTCTAATTGTGATATACAAGTTTGTGCAGAGAAAAAGAAAAGGTTTTGCATACTTTAGACTCAAGCAAAGTGGTGACAGGTTGGCCACTGTGGTATTCAGATCACTAATAATATCTATATGATATAGCTAATAATAAAATTTTAAAAAATGAGCAGTTTGATGTGTTATATAAAAGGTATAGAAAAGGATCGGACCACAGTAATGATTGAGACGATCTTCGAATACATAAAAGTTGATACTTGTACCTGCAATTTTGTGGCAGAAATCAGATACAAGTTCACACAATCGCGTTTTAATTGACAAGTTTCAGAAGTGGAAACTCGTTTCGCTGTTTCTTATACTTGGCAAAAGAAGAAAGGAATAACCAAATTTAAGAAAATGATCAATTCTGGTGTTGAGACATAAACAATGGAGTAACATTATCACCAGAATCATTGTTCTCTCCGGAGATATTGACAACGAAGTGTTTAAGTCTACAACGAGACCATTCAATCATGTGTGCTTCTATATATCAGATTTTGTTACTGCTAACCCTGAGGCTAGTTGATATCTCGGTCATTATTCGTCACTCGTAGCCAACACAAGAGAAACACAGTGCTAACTATAACATAATTACACTTGTAGAAGTTCATCGAAGTGAACAAATTTCAGCATTGACGCTAAGCAACAAATCCTAATTCTTGAAAACACAATGGACTTGAAAGTGAATTCACAGTTTATAAGGGACAAACAGAAACAACACCTATCCAAACAAAAGGTTCTAAATCAAAGACTTAAAGTATTATTCCAAAAATATCCATTAGCAAAATTGACCGAACAAGTTAAAAGTTACAAATTACGAGTGACCATCTAAGAAATCAACTCCTGTGAATATCAATCAATCATCCCCATTTGGAAACAAAGTAAGAACCTTCCTCCCATTAGTAGCTGTAGCTGGCTCCAACACAGAACTACTACTATGCACTGATGTCCCTATTCTCTGAACCGGCTGCTGCGACTGCCGGGGCAAGAATGGAACCTCACACTGCCCGTTGGGCAGTGACCCGAAATGCCTATACTGCTGCTGAAGTTGTGGAGCATGTCCAATAACTGCAGCCACTGGCACAAATGACATGTAATGATCAGAATTTCCCCTCCCTGGATGCAGAAAATGAGCAGGCACGGGTGAACTCGCAAACAGATCATCTGTTGCGGGATCCACCCCTGTCCCGTAAACACTGCCACTATTAGAAAAACCCTGCATACGTTTCAAATAAAGCCTATATTTCTGCAAATGACTAGCAACATTCTCACGAGTTAAGCCATCTACACTCATCAACTGCATTATAGTCTTGGGAACAGCATTCTTGATCCCCAATTGTGCAACTGCATCCACAAACCTTTTATGTAGCTGTGGTGTCCACACAAGCCTAGGCCTTTTTTGGGTGCGAGCAGGTTCATCACCAACCCCCGATGAACCTGCCATGCCACCCAACTCAGCCGAGTTCGACTCGAACTCAGTTGATGAAAGAGTATGAACTAGTGGTGATATTTTGGGATTTGGGGTATTGGGGTTTTGAATATCAAAAGCTATAGCTAGATTAGGAGTAATTAAGGTTTGGGATAAAGGCATTAGTTCCTTTGGAGAAGGCAATTCTTCTTCCCATTTAGCAAACCAATTGGAATCTTCTTCCCTCATTTCCCCTAACAAAATCTTAGGAATTTTGGTACTTCAAGATTGATGGAACAATTGACAATTGAGCTGAAAACTAAGATGAAACTAGAAAAAAATCAGATTTTTATGAGATGGGAATTCAGATTGATGGACCAAGAAAAGAAGTGATAAAAACTTGAAAGATTAGATTTTTCTGAGAAGGGTCAATTTCTGTGTTTCTTGGGAATTCAGATTGATGGACTAATTATCAAAAATGAACTGAAGACCAATGATAGAACAAGATAAAAAGGAGTAAACTTTTTCAAAAAAGATTCTTTTTTTTTTGTTCTAAGATGGGGTTTTTGTCTTTTTTTTTGGTCTCCTCTCTCTATCTCTCCTAGAAAAGCTTTGAAGGAGGAAGACAGATGAGGTGACTTTCCAAATTTGTAATTATGGTGGTTTTGGTTGTATTTGGCTGTGGGGTGGGGGTGTTTGGATCTTGTTTTTTTGCCCTATTCAGCTTTTTATCAGGGTTACTGTTCTTGATTCTTTCTTATGGTTTTTGTGGTATTTTGTGGGTGGGGGTGGGGGGGGGGATTGGGGTGGGTGGGGAGGTGGGGGAATTAATGTAATCTTTTGGAATTTGAGGGTCTTTGTGCTTATCAGCAAAATTTTATATTAGTAAACCATACTGCTAGTGTTTTAGATGATGAAAAAGTGTTTGTGATTGTGTATTGAATATGAACAAAATTCGGTAAAACCTTGAACATATAAGAGTTTTGCGTAAATATAAGAGTTACGCGATGAAAGAATAGTCAGATCATGTCATATTTGCAATCAAACTTGCAAAGTAAAAAAGGGTAAGCCTCTCAAGTAAGTTTTCCCTCTCGGCTTCGTTAACTAGACTTGAGAACAACGCCTGAATTCCCTTTAAAAAGTGTTTTAGATGAAGAAAAGGTGTGTTTGTGAATTGTGTAGAATATGAACAAAATTCGGTAAAACCTTGAACATTATTATAAGAGTTTCGCGTAATATAAGAGTTGCGCGATGAAAGAATAGTCAGATTCCTATTCGCAATCAAACTTGCAAAGTAAAAAAGGGTAAGCCCTCTCAAGTAAGCTTTCCCTCTCGGCTTCATTAACTAGACTTGAGAACAGCACCTGAATTCCCTTTTTCCGCTTTTCTGTACTTGCTTAATACACTAATTCCCACAAGTTTTATGATGGAAAATTTGATATAAGTATATAACTTTCACATTGTTGATCAAATAAATTGCTTCCAAATTGCTCAAAACAAATCTATCACCAAGGAACTGAAATGATTCCTTTAGGACAGCAGATACAAATTTCAATGCATTGTTTTAAATGAAATAAGAAAACTTTAAAACTAAAGCTAAGCCCTCTCTCCTTTTTATTCATGAAGAGCCAACAGGGAAATGGCTGGAGGATTCAGTGCAACAGCACCTCTATGCGAACTCGAATACTTCCTGTAAATCACCCTTAGCTTGTGTTGTGGTGCCTCCATATGATAACTCACCAGCAACTTAGCACAACCTAGAAGCTGAGACTCTGAGAAACCAGTATGCAATTTCAGTGTCTCATTCCAAAAAGGACTACAATTCAGCGCGTGTCGAGCAACATAGACTGCTGAGGCAGCAATCATCGACGAGCAGTAGATATTCGTAGCATAATTCATCAATCCCAATTCAGCCAAGAAATAAACCATGTTTTCCATTGAGGTCACATTGCAAGAATTCAAGACAGCAACATTCGCGTGTGCATCAGAAACAGCAACCTTGATGAATCGAACAAGGAACACATAAGGCGTTGGTACCGTTAAGTACCACTCCAATTGTCCAAGAATCCTTTTTTCCATTCCTAAAACCTGCTCATGATCATAAGCTCTGTCTGAGATGCACACAAAATCATTCACCTGACAAAGTACATGATCATCAAATTGGTTAGTTAGTTAGTTAGTTAGCAACTCGAAAAAATGGGAAAGTAACTTGCATAATTGGACTTATTAGTATACCTCAGGTGCCCAAATTTCTTCATATTTGGATGCAATGAGCATAGCACTCATGCCTACTAACTGCAATTCCCTCCTTGATGTAGTCGTTACAGCAAGGTAACGATCAACGATATTGATGGTGAGGTAAAGAGTCTCTTGATTTAGCTCAAACTTTTGATGTACCTCAATCAACCAATCAATCAGAATAGACCTCATCTTTTCATTTATCTCAGGCTGTGAATCCATGTAGTCATGAATTCTGCTCTCATTCTATGTAACATCAAAAAGAAAATCGTAACCGTAAGTAAGTTATATACATTATCAAGATTTGTGAAAAAGAACAAGAAAAATATCTACCTCAGCTATCTTATAAAAGGTGTAAATATCCTCAACATATTCCAACACTGCCAATTCATTATTCACATCAGTAGCATCAATGTCCACAATCTGGTTCTTTACTTTATGACTTAGACCACAGGCAGCCTTTACAAACAGAAGCAAAATCAGATTATGGTGTAAAGATACCGATAAACGAAGCATGACACTATATGATTGATAGGGGATTAAATGCTCACCTTACTCCTAGCAGTGAGAGTTGAAGTAAGAGTTGCTGCTTTCTTCATTGAAGAGTCATTAGCAGCCTTCTTCTTTTGCTTATTTTCCTTCACTTGTTCAACAGTATCAGGACTAATTTCGATCACCTCAGGCATTGGTTTTACAATAGCTGCTGCTTTCTTCTGAGCTGGTTTTCTTGCTACTGGTGCAGCTTTAGCTGGTAAAGCTCCGTTAGCAACAATCGGTCCATCGCCATTAACAACCATTGATTTCTGTTAAGAGATTAAAAAACAACAACCCCTTTTATTAGTATAACAACTTCAATAAGTTTGAAAATAGTAAGAAAAACTAAGACTTTTTAAGTCATAAACCTTCTGGTTATCAGCTGCAGCTTGTGCATTAGCAAGCAATTGTGCACAAAAGCTCCTTGTTATGGGGCGAGATACTTGAGGAAGCGGCTTTCCCCCCTCGACCCCACCACGCACCGTTACCATATTCCCAATATCACCAAGCGCCTTGCGGTTTCTCCCTTGTGCTCCTGCCATATTCTTCTGCTTTATGGCTCCAGGGACTGCCTCACCTGACCAAAATGTTACAAACTCTTAACATTGAGAAGTGTTGCAAGAATTGATTATATCATAAGATAGTTTAGTTCTATTAGTTTCATAGCCAAACTGTCTATGAAATAGATTAACATTGGAGCAAGTATTTTTAATCATGATGAGGATTAGTAATCAAAGATCCCCTCAAGAACAGACATCAACAACAATGACATCCTGCAAGTGGGGTACAAAAAGGGCGATGTGCATGCAGTCTTACCCCTACCTTATGAAGTGGAGAAACTGTTTCCGATAGACCCTCGGGAACAAACATAAAAATTAATAACCAATGACTACCCCTCAAGAACAGAGATCAACAACAACATACCAGTGAAATTCCAGAAAGAGTGGCGCTTATACAGCCTTACCCCAACTCTTTCCTATCAACCCTCAAAGAACAGACAACAAAGGTAATAACTGAAAACTCAAAAAACTCACCAGAGCAACAAAAAAAACTAATATTTTTTATGCTCAGGATTGGTGATCAAAGAAAATGAGGAATCTCAGATCAAATTTATAAACACCCCATTAAAAAAAAGGGGGATTTGGGTATAAGTTACAAAAAAAACTTGCTAATTACAGTTTAACAAGAAACCCAAAAACAAGAATCAAAAGATGATTAAAGAAATGAGGCAAAAACACCAGTATCTAACCTCTGTTTTGCTGTTGAAGAACATTTCTTGCAGCCATTTCTCAAAAATCTGAAAGAATGAATCGTTTATCGACACGGGTATCGTTGAAATTTCCCAATTCCCTCTTACCTTCTCTCTGAATGCCTCTGAGAAACTGTTGATTTTTTGATACACTGAAGAAGAAGACCCCTTTTTGAAGCTTCAGAACCGGTGCTTCTGTTCTAACGGTCATATTTTTTTTTTTCCAAATAGTAGCCGTTAGATGAGAGACAGATCGGACGGTGTTGATTGTGTTTCCTAAGTTCCATTAAAACTAGCCGTTGGGTTTGTGTTAGTATTAAATTGATCTTAATTTAGTTAGATGGGATTATTAATACTACTACTGGTCGAAAGTTTTATTTGGACATGTAATTTGCGATTATTGACTTTCAAATACACATAATATTATAAAGATCTACTAGTCAATAATAGCAGTAACTAATTATTCTTTGATATAATCATTTTTTAATGGTAATCTAGACATGTCTTTGTTGCTCGATTTTATTTTTATTTTTACATTGGTTTTCATTATTTGCATCAATTTTACATGAATTTTATATTTGTATGTTCTTTTTTGTAGGAAGAAAAAGAAAAATTCAGCGTATTAGATTGAAATCAAATTAAAATTTGAAATAATCCAATTCGAATATGATTTATTATTTCTTGAGTTCGAAAATATAAAAATCCAAATGAAAATTCTCATGTCCAAATCGAACTACGATAAATCAAATCTCATCAGTAAAACAAAATATTAGAGTTACATTTTAAAGTTGCGGTACAACGGTTAATGAAGTGTGTCCAGATCTTGTAAATTATGATTCAAATTATCATAGAGTCAAAAAATGTTAGGTGTAATACGAAAGTAATAGAATTATGGTGGATGTCCATAACTCCTAAGAAGTTACTCTCATTACACTTGTACATTTAACCCCCTCAGCCACTTCTCATCATTTCACGCCCTTTAATGTGATCTCCCCCATGGTGTCAATGGTTAATTGCATATTCATGACATCATTTGATGTACCTTAGGTTTATGTAACGCTATAAATAAAGATATTGAGATTTGAGAATCATGTTGTATACATTTGGAAAAATAAGAAAGCCCTCCTTGAATCTCTTAGGAGTATCACTTTTAACTTCATTTTATCATATGACAAAACATTTTTATTTTACCTTATTTTATTTATGTATGAAAAGGAAAGTATTGTCATAATTAGTAAAGTTTTTATCAATATGTATGTGATCAGAATGTCACAGTTTCAACTTTCAAGCCATGAAAACATCCTTTTGAAATTGCGTACAATAGAATAGACCATTACTATGGTCCAATCCTTTTCTATACCTTTTATATAACAAAAGCTTTAATACATCAAACTGCTATTTTTAAAAAAAATTTAGATCAACTTACAAAAATGACTATATTTATAGGGTTATTGAAGTTCAATAGCTATAAGTATATTATTTATAAAAAATGACTACAATTTATATCTTTTTCTAGCTGTATTTCTTTATATATTTTTATTTTTCTATTTATACACTAATACAGTTTTAATTACAATGAACTAAATAAGGAACATGTATTAATTGTGTAGCATATGAATACTTTGAATTCAAATTGGTATCTCTATTTATAAGACTTAAAGTATTAATATATCAAGGATACAAGTATTTATAAAAACTTAATGTATTAATATATCAAACAAGGTAAAGTATGACAATTAACATATGAACATGACAATTTGAAAAATGAATTCATTGTTGTTATTAAAAAAAAAAATACAACATAGTGTATATATATATATGAATACATTGTTGTTAAACAAAAGATGGATACATTGGACAACATAGAAACAAGAAAAATGGAAAATAATAAAATGTGTAGGTATCAAAGTGTGTAAGTATTCGCTTGTATAAAAAAATTGATAAATCCAACAAACGTCAATCTCTTTTTGGTCAAGTTTTTTCTGTAATACTTGAGGTTTGGTGTTAACTCATGTATTTGTTTATAAAAAATATAGGATTAATGTATTCAATTATACTTGTATTGCCTAATCAATCTTTTAAATTGGATAGACTACTTATGTATCCAGATATACTTGTATGTACAAATCACCATTTCAACTTGTGTTAATATTACAATACAAGTATCTATGTATATAAGTATTCTACTATATACAAATTTGACAATCACACAAATCCCAATCTCTTTTTGCTCGTGTTCTTCCTTTACTATTTTTTTTTGTATAACTATAACCATTGTAATGGAGAAAGCAAAACAATTCTTCAATCGAACCCCTATATATAAAAATAGATGAAAATATAGATGGATACAAATATAATCTGCATAAAAAAAAAGAGAGAAAAAATCAACTAAAAGATACTTGATAAATTCAAATCACAATCACACAAACCTCAATCTCTTTTTGTTCATGTTCTTCCTTTACTACTTTCTTTTTTATAACTATAACCATTGCAATGGAGAAAATAAAATAATTCTTCAATTGAACCCCTATAAAAATAGATGAAAATATAGATGGATACCAATTTAATCTTCATAAAAAAGAGAAAAAAATCAATTAAAAGATACTCGATGAATTCAAATCACAAAAATTGCTCCTAGAATCATCAAAAAGATCTTAAATTGGAAGGAATATGGGAGGAAAATATTGAGAATATGTGATATAGGAATATTGATGAAAGAAAAAGTATTAATAAGGATAAAATTGAAAAACTGATCACATAAAATGTGCCTAGACATAATTAATTATCCTTGTGATAATAATTTTCCTATTTAATATTTAATAACTTTCCTAATTATTTGTATATAATTAACTTTGCTATTTATTGTATAGTTATATCCATATAACATAAAAATAATAAATTATAGCTATTTGTTTTAAATATATATTGATGTTTGCTATATTCTGTAGTTTTTCCATATTTTTTTAATATTAGAGATTTGATTGTATATTTTTTGACGGTACATATGCTAATCAAATATTAGCATTATGCTGGAGTTGTTCTATCAGTTTAGGATTTTTTTGTTTCCAAATTAGATTATTTCTAGTTGTTTTTGTTTTGTCTATTTTGTTGACCGACTTGGTCACTCTTGGACCTTGTTTGGACACATTTTTATTTGATGAATAAATAGACATGGTCCAATGTTGATTAAAAATAAAATAAAATATTAGTATTGTATATTATTCAATATATTCCACATTTTATTACATGTATTATTATTTTGTAAATAATATATATTAATAATTTACTACAAGTTTAATATAATAGTTAATAATTCATGTATTGTAATCTCTACATAACTAAATAATACCTACGTAACTAATATCCACATAGCTAATACCCGCATAATTAAACCCTGCATAACTAATACCTGCATATCTAAACCCTGCATAACTAAACCCTGCATAATTAATACCTGCATAACTAAACCCTGCATAACTAAACCCTGCATAACTAATACCTGCATAACTAAACCATGTATAACTAATACCTGCATAACTCTAACCAGTAACCAAACGGCCCCTTAATGTATTAATATATCAAACAAGGTAAAGTATGACAATTAACATATGAACATGACAATTTGAAAAATGAATTCATTGTTGTTATTAAAAAAATAAATACAACATAGTGTATATATATATATATGAATACATTGTTGTTAAACAAAAGATGGATACATTGGACAACATAGAAACAAGAAAAATGGAAAATAATAAAATGTGTAGGTATCAAAGTGTGTAAGTATTCGCTTGTATAAAAAAATTGATAAATCCAACAAACGTCAATCTCTTTTTGGTCAAGTTTTTTCTGTAATACTTGAGGTTTGGTGTTAACTCATGTATTTGTTTATAAAAAATATAGGATTAATGTATTCAATTATACTTGTATTGCCTAATCAATCTTTTAAATTGGATAGACTACTTATGTATCCAGATATACTTGTATGTACAAATCACCATTTCAACTTGTGTTAATATTACAATACAAGTATCTATGTATATAAGTATTCTACTATATACAAATTTGTACAATATAGTTATTATTCGTGATCTGAATACCACAGTGGCCAACCTGTCACCACTTTGCTTGAGTCTAAACTCTAAAGTATGCAAAACCTTTTCGTTTTCTCTGCACAAACTTGTATATCACAATTAGAGTTATCACTTTTTCACTACAAAAACTATCCAATTGGGACTAAGGTATGTTGGACATATTGAGCCGATAAGGATCGTGGTGAGATGGATAGGATTCCTTCATTTTTAATTAGAGGTTTTGGGTTCGAATTCTGAATATGAAAAAAAACTTGTTAGGAAGTGTCTCTCTTAATGAGTCTTACGCAACACAAATTCAAATAAGGCAGAGCCTCGACATAAACATTGCTATGTGATTCAAAATTCTATAGGTAAAACTTCATGACAGTATCCTGAAATTTCATTTATGAATTTTGAATCTACATATGACGATAACTATTTTTCTATTACTGTATCCTAGATCCTAGAGTTTGATTTGTGGATTTTCGATCTACATGACAATAACTATTTTTCAATTACATAGTAAATAAAAAGTGATTATTTGTAAATTTTAATTTATCGGCAAATTAACCGGGCCCATCAAGCCTTATTTCCGTCCTTATAGGCTGGGCTTGGGCTTGGATTCTTCAAACATTTGCTTATAATTTTCAGCCCAGTTCCTTGACCCGATAATTTATTTCCTTAATCAAATCCCATAAGGAAAAATTGCTTGGATGAGTGCCTTTTAATAAATAATTACTGATGTTAACGATATTTTTTATTTATTACCATTTATAGCAATATTATGTTAAATCTGTAATATGTATTAAAAGTGAATTAAGTATGCAATATATATGTATTATACTTGTTTTTAAAAATATATTATGCTTGTTTGGTAAGAAGTTGACACATTATATTATAAGTATATTAAAATGTGTGATAAATGTATTATCCACAATAAAACTTGTATTATATGTGAATTTAATTGTTTTTTGTAATATGAATTAAAAGTGTA